TTCGCAAAATTAATAAAACGAAAGTTCTCCGTCCAAAATTATATTTCGACTTTCGGATATTTCTGCAGATCGCTTTATATTTATACATCTTTGTGTCAACGACGGAGAAAGAATTTTAGAGATAGATTTAAACTTAATTTTGACAGGTTAACGTTTAAAGCTTATTCATTACTAATTCCGATTCATATCAACAATTTTCATCGATTTATACGAATTTGATTTCATAAATATAAATGGTAGGTTCTTGAATGCTAATATTATTAATAATAGGAGTGGATTTAGCCTTACGAGACCTTAAGCTATGCTTTGTAAAAGTCCCTTTCCTTCTCTCGAATAAATATCAAAGCCCGAAGCCCTAAGAGACAATTTTCTTTTTTTATTAGGTTATAGTTTCATAGTTTCAAGTGCAGGAAAAAACCTCGGAAATAATCCTTTCGTCTTTTTGTGATCCTTTTCGTTTGTCAACGCCACACCTTAGCATAATTTCCTTTTCTTAATTTTTGTTCTCATTTGGATTGTGTTGAAACCTTCTGTATGAATTTTTTTTAATACAAAACTGCAAATAAAAATATGACGTGATTAGATAATTAGGCGTTACGGTCTCGAGTTTCTCACTCCCGATTCGCCGGTGTTTGCTGGCTGCATTTCGGCATTTTTATTCGCATTCTGGATTGTTGGTTTCGGTAAATACCATCGACTGGCTTAATTTTACAAATACGTGAGCCGTTCACAGCCCGGCACACGTATTTGTAAAATCTAAGTGACTCGTACAACACGGAATTCATATAAAGCGGAATTATCAACAGTGTTATAGGGGGTGTCGACTGTATAGATAATACGGAGATATACCATCAATATTGAATCTCTGAGAGTTTGGCTTTACACTATTACTGGTTATATACGGATACGCTTTATAGTTTAATTAATCGTATTTTATCTTTTACGGACATAATGTGACAAATATTCGATTTTTAAAAAATTCCGCCAGAGGGAGTATTTAAGTTCGACATCTTCTGGCAACACTACTTACGAAATAATTGAACGGAAGGTCAATGAATTAACGTGGAGTATTTTAAATCATTTTAGATTCTATACGAAAGCGATTGCTTAAGTTGAAAATGGTTCACGTTACTAAAGGAATTTTAATTGAATGGTATAACTTTTTATGTAATAGTGTTTTACTCGATAAATAACATGAATTTCTTCAAAGCACGTGATAGATTTAACACGTGCACTAGAAAGTGATCCATATCCAGTGCCTCTTGAATGACATGAATGACGTTGTTGAGACTAGGGTTTCTCAAACTGGATCCCTGTTGTTTTTTTTAACCCGGGAAATCCAGCAAATTTCTTAAAAATTCACTTTTTTCTTATTTTGTGTTAAGATTGAGAAAATTTTACAAATAGGAAGTATAACTAGCTCATAAACTGTCAGAATACATCTGTATTTATTAATTTTAAACCTACTTATTAGTTTTTTAAATTTTTGCTCGTTATGACATGTTACAAATGGTCAGTAATCAATACATAGCTTATTTGTGACAGGACTCTGAAAATTCTGTACTTGTCAGAACCTGTAACATCTCGAATAATTGTACTTACGCTGTCTTAATTTGTAACCGTGCCTGGTAGCTTCGATGACAGCGTAACACCGGGTTGTGCAAATTAGGCAAGGATACAAACGAGTACGAAGTCTGCCTTCATAAACCTGATTATTAAAGACAAACAAACTGCCGAATTATCAGTCTATAAGCTTGATGTTTCTATTAAAGTAGCCATGGTAGACAAATCAAGAATACTAGAGAGCAAAAGAAGTATTACTATCTTGAAAAGAAACTAGAAAATTTTTCCAGGCTATGATGAAAAAACACATAACATCCGTCTTCTCTTAAATGCATTAAAGACTGTTTCACCCATATGAATTGAATCGGAAAGGGTATTCTTGATAGAGGACTTTTCATTAGGTAAATAAGAACCACATCGAGTGATTGGAGAATTGACTATCTTTGCTTTTTAAAATCCTATTATAAAACTTTACAAAAATATTTTGTATTATGTTTTATTTTTAAAAAAAACGAAAATTACCCTTTAAGTTAGAAGTTTGATGTAAGTTCATTTTTTTTTTTTTCAACTCAATTCAAAGCATTTCTTGTTGTATGCAGTTTCTAGCAAACTTTAATAAATTTCTATTTATGAAAATTTCTACGTACATAATTTTTAATGTATTTTTTACGCAGCATTATTAATATGATTTTGGAAGTTGCAGAATGTATTAAATTACTTTAAAAAATGAAAAATAATTATATCATTTGATTTCAAGATATTTTGTATATCTTAAAAATAATTAATTTTATCTTGGGATCCCAGGAAACCGTTCACTTTTATCCCAGAATCCCAGGACAAGCAAAAGACCGGGAAATGGGAAACCCTAGTTGAGACTTTAACGGAGCCATAGAGCATGTCCGTAGGTTCCTTTTGACTTTTCTGCTTCTATACACATGCTCTACAGTTGTGTTAAGGTCCCAACAGCATCATTCACATTTACAATCTTACCCTGTTTTCATCTGTTTCAGTGGTGTTTTCTACTTGTAAAGTTGGGTAAAAGTTTACCTTGATAGTCCCAATGGTGGTGCTTCGGTTAGGTGTGCCTACTGCCTCTGAATCCAGCAAACAGAAGAAAGGAATACCTAAAAAGAAAAAAAAAAAGAAAATGTCTACTAAAAATGTAGTTAACCTAACCGAAGTGCGGCCATTGGGACTACCAAGGTAAACTTTTACCTAAAGCTGTTTATTTTTATCACAAAATTCCAGTGCAGTCTATGAGCTTGACAGCTCACTTCCTCTTTTATTTGCATTGTTTTGTCTTTGTACATTAATAGGTAAACATAAGCCTTTACTCCCTTTAAAAAAAATGTTAATAGGATATTTTGGTATTAACTAATAATGTCATTATAAATCAAGATAAAAGTTTGCAATCTAGTTTTTTTTTTCTGAATTATTTGTATAGTAATTTTAATGTCCAATATTGTGCTAATAATGGATTGATAAGCGAATAGGTTTTTGTAGTGTTTTGGTGACATTTCTCCAAATGGTACTACAAAAATCTATTGTCAATCAATCTGCTGGAATTGTTCAAATAAACTGGGAAGCAGATAGATTTGGATAACAAGATACAGATGTAATTATCTATCAGTAGCTATATGATAGAGGAAGTTATGAAAATCAGTTCTAGAAAAACCCAAGATGATCTGGTTTTCATCTGCTTTTCGGAGGCAGATTTAATGGCGGGTGCACTGGGCACGCACCCTGGGTCCCGCAAAACCCCAACTTTACACTTTTTTCTAATGACACCAAGTTTGGTTTGGTTTCATATGTGCAATTTTAATTACATACAAGTTTACAATCAGCAGTAAAATTTGAATATAATATATATATTATATTCAAATTTTGTTGGAAATGAAACATTAGTAGTACATAATATTTTTTATTTATTTAAAATATGGTTAACATGTATTTTTATTTTCCCTGCCTTTCTGTTTTTTTTTTTTAAGGGGCCCAATATTTTTTCTGCACCCAGGGCCTCAATCATCCTTAATCAGCCTTTTTCTGAAAGCTGCTTTGAATGAATTGTAGGTATTTAAGTCATTCTATACTAGTTTTAATACATCTCTGTGAAATTTTATGCTTTAAAGTAATGGTCCGATTGGAATATTAAAGATAATATCTCTCGGCAAATGCATAGGTGATCGTAAATTTGTAATTTATTCTCTGCCGAGTATGTTCGAACTGTATAATAAAGATATTTTTAAATACATGTCTGAAGCTTCAGATTTGTATGATTATGTTGAATTACAAATTATTGTTTAATATTTAACAAACTTTATTAAGAAAACAATTTCAATGCTTCTTTAGATTGGTTGATTGGTGTTTCTTGATGTAAAAGCCATACGGGCTACATTTAAGGCCATATCACACTAGGTGATTATTCTGGAAGATGAATTTTCCAGATGGTCTTTAGTAGGCTACAGAAAACCTCTGCTTAGCTTAACTTTTGAATAAGAATGTTACTGTTTAATTAAACATATTATTTTTATTTGTTTCTTGTTAGAACTGAGCTGCTTTTTCATGTATTCAAGTAGCATATTTTAATTGTAAATGACTTATTTTAAACTCCTTTTTTCCCTAATAAGATAAACACATGCACTCTTTTATTTGTTTTTTAACCAAAATACAATAAATAAAAGAAACTGGTGACTACTGACAAGTGTAAGATGGCTTAAATACACTAAATACTTTTTAAAATATTTTGTGGAGATGCATCTTTCATGCTGTAAAATTTGGCAATAATATACAATAACTAAAAAATTATATCTTGATTTATTTAATTTAATAATTGAGAAACTGATTAGATGAGTCTTTTCTAGATTATCTCTTTTTCTTATTTACGAAGATATTTATTTGTATATAGGATGTCTATGTTTAATTTCAGTGATCCAACAATGAAGCAATTTCTTCTCCATCTAGATGAGACGGATGCTCTAGGAAAGAAATTTATCATACAAGATTTGGACGAAACTCATGTTTTCATTGCTGTGGAGATTTTGGAAATACTTCAAACTAAAATTGATGATTTGATGGATCAAATATCATTCCCATTAGCAGAAAAATAAACTAATATTTTTTAAAAATCGTAAATGTTTATTGTCAAATTCTTTTATATTAAAATTAATAGAATTTTTAAATAAAATGTTTATTTTTACATGGATAACTTCAAATTTTGAAACTAGTAATAATTTTAAAGATTATTGAATAGAATAAGTTTTCTTTGACATATTGTAACTTTTCTTATCATAATGTTTTTATTTTAGTTAAATGTATTCACTCAACATTGATATTGAGAAATAATTTAATCAGCAGTAATGCATCTAAGAGCAAATTTTAAATAAAACTTAAAAAAAAATAAAACAACCTAAGCCAGTTCAAAGTTTGTAGCACAGATTATGTTTTTTTTTTTTTTTGTGTGTGTGTGTACGTCTCATATATGTACACTGAAATATTTGAATGGTTTTAGAGTTGGAGTTCATACATTAGAAGATGCAAGCTGTACAGACTTAAAAAGACAGTGGGGAAAGGTAAAAGATGATGAAGAGTCAACATATTTTCCTAAGTCTGTTGAGGAGTTTTGCCATGTGAAGCTACCACTAAAGAATATTCAATTGAATGATGTTGAATCAATTCGTGAACAGCTGCTTAGTGGAGCACCAAACAGCTCCCTTGCAAAGCACATTACTGGAAGAAAAGTTTTGCAAAAGGAAGTCATCCAGGAACAAGATGTAGCAGCTCCCAATAAAGTTAAGTTATTGGAAGCAATTATTTCCATTTCTCAAACAGAAAATCTGATTGCTAAAAAATATTCCAGTATCAATTTTAGTTACAGCTGTTGCACAGAAGATTACTTGTGCGTTAAGAAGTTTGCATTAAACAAGCAAGAACTTGAATTTTATGAAGATAAAGTCTGTGTTGACACTAGCAAAGCATTTAACATGCTTAAAAACATTGTGCAGGGCGATCCTATTTGGAATACTGAGTGAAGTTTTGAGATCTCAGGCAGTAAATGCTATTCCTTGTACACATTTAATTCAAACAACATTGAAGATTGGACTAAAAAAATATGTTCCTTATATTTTAATCCATTTACTGGAAACGAAGCTACAAGGTGTGGGTTGAGTCAGGAAAATGTTGCTCGAGAAAAATATATGAAGGACACTGGGACAAACATAGTGGAGATTGGGTTGCTCATTTTACCCCAGCTGCCTTGGTTGGCATTTTCACTGGATGGCATTGTTTTTCAACATGTCAAAAACCATTGCATCTTCTTGAAATAAAATTCCCTCTTCTTGCAGCAACTTCATCATTTCAAGATTTGATAACAAGTAAAAAATAAACTTTTTAACAGGTGACAACCACAATGGATACCAGCTAAAGAAAAATCCATATTATGACCAGGTTCAGCTTTGTTAAAAATGGAAATGTGCCATTTATATGTAAGCATGAATCTGCTCTGATTATTCAAGTCAAGTAAGACAATGAATTTATAAATGATATGCTTGAAAGTCTGAGAAAAAAGTACTTTTTGTGTATATTGCCATCCATTGTTGAAATGTTTCATAAAAATATGTAAGTCAATGACTTTGGCATCTGTGATTTTTTTTTTTTTTTTAGGTTTATAAAATCTTTCGGTATCTAGAATTGGACTACTTAGATTTACAATAATAGTAGTAATGCACAAAATTGAATCTATCAATTCCAACATGTTCCAACTTAATTTTGTTGACAAAGTTTGAGTTTTTCAGTCTTTGAATGACTCACTCCATGTGTACCCGTGCCGATGCTATTTGACTTGTCTCCAGTGCATGTTCGTGTTAACTGAGTTTGTCTCCGCAAAAATGGTGGTTTTATGAGGTGGATGTTTCTTTCTGCACAAGCTTCATCAATGTGGAAACCTTTATCCACCATTACTGCATCAACAAATGGCTCCAATTTATTGAACACACCAGATTGTTCTGTGATAGCTTTGTCAGATGCTCTTCCACCAAAAGCTTTGCTCACAAATGTAATCAGTCCTGCTAGAGACACACCTATGAGGACCTTAATTGTATTGTCCCCTTTATAATGCAAGTATGTGTGGATTCTGCTCCTTAGACACTTTGTTTTTTCAACTGCAAACTCAGTGCAATCTAAAATTATTCAAATGTTTGTATAATTGGAAAAAATGGTAAATTTTGAAGAACTTCTCTTTTGCTATATTGCACTTTTTAAAACTGCCTCCAATACAATTAATGTTTCTTTGAAATATCTTCTGCATGTACTTTCAGGAATTTTAAATAAGAGAGCTATGCAANTGTATTATAATTACAAATGTATTAAAATAAAAATATCTTTACTTTCATATATTAACTTTTATTATCGTATTATTAAGATACTATACTGCACTTATACGCTTAGCTTTTTTATATACTCATCTAAATTGAAGGATTTTCCTATGGTCGTCCATATCGCTTGTTTTAGGCATCCTACCATCCATTCTTATAATGGGGATACCTCTTGTTGTAGATACGTGGATACTTTCGGATGTTTTCCATAAATCTTTCCAGATCTAGGACTTTTCTAAGTAACCACGAGAGAACGTACACGAAAGGTCGTTACCCGCCATTTTCGCACATGTCACAATGACGTAGAATCTACCGACTTCCGATTGGTCGACGGTACCGTCTTACGGACGTGTTCGCGTCGAAAGTTGAACACTGCTCGACTCGTTTTACGACTTGCTCCGGCGTAAAATATCATGGTTACGTGATCAAAAGTAATTACAGCCAGAGTTTTTACGCTAATGGAGTCTCGGTTTAAAAACCCCCATTTATTTCCCTACGTTTTCTGACGGATAAATAGACGTTTATTTCGGTCGTGTGGTGCAGTGTATGTCTTAATGATCGGCGTGTTTTTTGCATTGCTAAGAGACCGAACGATACGAAAAAGTTGCCCGATTACGGTGCGAGTCGTATCGTTTTATTATTTCGCTTGTTTATGAATTTGATCTACTTGTAAAAATTAATTTTGCCAAAAAGTTTCTGATCTTCTTTCTGTAATATTATTTACATCGTTATATTTCCATTCGATTTTGTGTTATTAACAGTCTTTAAACAATTAAAATAAAATTTCTCTCATTACGCATGCGTATGTCGAGAGGATGGCGCCTGGAATAGCCATGCATAAGTAAGTATACATGGAGTGGACAGAAATGACAAAATCATATTCAACTGCTGCGAACGATCCTGGCGGCTGGGTGTACACTATCGCCTGCACACCAACCAATCAACGCATCGCATATTGCGACGGGTTAGATGTTTGAATTTTCCAGGGCTGTGGAGTCGGAGTCGTCAAAAAATTCGCCGACTGACTCCTTTTTACTTGCCGACTTGTTATGCGTATAAAACGGAAAAGTATTGGAATCGTGTCAAATTTGACCCTTCAAGTTTTTTTGCAAATCTAACGTTTGGAGACCTCCCGAACCCCTCAAAAAAGTCAATAAAAGGGAAAAAATTCGCGCGCGTGTGTTGGCGTCTAATTTGTTTAATTTATTTATTTTCTGTTTTGAGATATTAAACAATATCTCATAATGGATAAAGTTTAAGAAACGAAATGTGGCACTGTAGCTTGCGTATAAAGGGGCATTAATACTATTAAATTTTGGTTCTTAATTAAAGGTCGACAGGATGAAGACATAAAAGTGATCTTGTGTCATATCTCTTAATGAATATTTTACTTGGTATTAGCGTTCAAATCACTACCCTCAAAGTAAACTTTTTTGTCATTTTATAATACTATAGTAAAACCCGTTAAGATGTTTTCGCCTAAAATGTTAGAATGTAAATGGGGACATGATTTAATTCAACCACTTTGACACTTAATAACTAACTCCTGTGTTAAACCATCTGACTCCGATTCTAACCACTTTAACCACAGAAATTATTAAGCTTCAAAACAGGGGAACAAAATCATGCCCTCCACACACAGTCTAACATCCACACATATAGAAAAAACCTCGAATCTTTTGCATATCTTGAAATTTCAAGGTGTCCTGAGTCCAAAAATGTAAAAATTTGGGAGGGGTCATTTTTGACAGAGTGCTACACTTCCCCTCTGTTATATATAACAGCCGGAAAAGTAAAAATTATCGAATACATATTTATATACTGTATTACTTAGAGGAGTCTTTAGCTTTGGAATAAAAATTTCTACGTTATATCTTTACTAGAACTCTATTTATTGAATCTTTTATTCTGAAGTCACGTGATGACATCAGAATTTCCGGGTCTCTTTCGGTAACAAGTCCGCCCTTGGTCGGAGTCGGAGTCGGATGGTAAGGAAAAGACGGAGTCGGTAGATTTTTACGCGACTCCACAGCCCTGAAATTTTCATCTGTTTTCAGGTCGTTGTTTTTCCTCCCATATTTTCTAGATACAGTATTAAAATCATCGCTTCTCGGCCTTTTTCGGCTAAGATCAAATGTGTAAAACACTGCTGAAGCAGGACAATACCCCCTGAGAGAAATGTTCTCTCAGGGGGTATTGTCCTGCTTCAGCAGTGTTTTTGGTCTGGGTTAATTCCCACACCATTATTTCTGGCTATGCCAGATCGTATTGTCATCCAGCATGTGTTGGAGGCGTCTATCGCCTAGCTCGAACCAGGCTTTTTCGTTTGGCTTCGGCCAATCCCTTTCTGTTCGGTGCTTGCACCCAGTGCCGTAACTAGGTGCCCAGACACAGCGGTGCCCAGACACAGGGCGCAGAAATGATCTGGACCAAGTTAAGGGGCGTAGTTACAGAAGCTCGTACCGGGCGCACAAAAGGCTAGTTACGGCGCTGCTTGCACCTGGTCCCACTGTTTCTTCCGGAGTGAAAAGCGACGAGCTGCAGCACTCCTCTATCAAAGGTTGAAGTGAAGTGAAGTGCTTGCACCTGCACTAGTGCGTAAGGCGCTGCATTGAACTCTGTATCCCAATGTAGCGTCGGGGGAGGATGTCCCATAGACCATGTGGCATTGAGATCCTCACTTTCACGCCCCCCAAAATTTATGATACAGTATTAAAATCATACTTTAGATTGTTATGTTCATGTCAAATGCTCTTTTTCTGTAAGTATGAGTAAAAATAATATTAACAGTTATAGTTTATATTTCATCCTAAACTTTTGACCAGCACTGCAGAAAATGAAAAACTACTAATGCTGTATTGAGTATACTACATTCGTGGCCGGGTGGCCTAGCGGTCAAGGTAGTAGCCTACTGCTCTGGAGGACCCGGGCTCGAATCCGAACGGGTCGAAAAATCCCCAGGAATTTTTAGGGGGTGGTCCGTTTGGATATTTTGGGCTTGGCCAAACCCTTAATGGGCCTGCTATAGCTATAAGTAGTGTTTCTCAAACGGGATCCCGGTTGGTTTTTGAATCCGGGAAATATCCCGGAAAATCTCGCAAATTTCTTAAAAATTCACTTTTTTTTCTTATTTTGTGTTAAGGTTAAGAAATTTTGCAAATAGAAAGCATAATTATCTCATTCGCTGTCAGAATACATTTGTATTTATTAATTTTAAACCTACCTATTAGTTTTTTTTAAATTTTTGCTCGTTATGACGTGTCACAAATGATCAATAATCAATACGTAGCTTATTTGTGGCAGGACTCTGAAAATTCTTTACTTGTCAGAACCTGTAATATATGGAATAATTGTGCTTACGCTGTCTTAATTTTTAACCATGCCCAGTAGGTTCAATAAATGCCTGACGCCAGATTGTGCAAATTGGGCAAAGATACAAACGAGTACAAAGTCTGCAAATATGAAGTTTTTCTTCATAAACCAGATTATTAAAGCCAAACGAATTGCCGAATTATCGAGCTATAAGCTCGATGCCGCTATTAAAGCAGCCGAGGTAGACAAATCAAAAATACTAGAGAGCAATAGAAGTACTACAGTCTTGAAAACAAACTCGAAATCTTCCAAGCTACAGGTGAAAAAACACATAATATCTATCTTCT